CATGTTGACCTGGGTAAGAAGGACTGATGTAGTCATTTGATTACATGCCAGATAGATTATTTGAGATGTTATCGCAATAACAACAGCCCTATGAGGTAGACAAGTGTTTATATCGCTGTTTTGGGGCTGAAAGTTTATGGCTTACTTACAGCCACCAGCTGAACCCATGTATAAGAGAAAAAAGGTCTGAGCTCCTAGTTCAACACATTCTGTTATCACTATGCTACTTAAATAGCCAAAGTCCACGTTAGAACCAGATTCTGTTCTCATTTGTAAAGCAACCAGCCCAATCCTCTGGATTCCTGTAAAATGGGTGTCACTGTAGCCACATACACACTGTTGAAAGTTACTCTAGGTCTAGGATATTTGACCAGTGATGCTAATGCCCTACTGTTGCCTCCTTTCTTTCAGTGAAGATCCTCAGAGGATTGCCTTGTGCAGAAAGGCTTCTACCATGACAGCCCCTTTAAGGAGGCCCCAGTCCTCCTTTCCAGGAGACAGTCAGGCCAGCTGAAAAGAAGAGCAGAGTAGGGAGCAGCTGGCACCACCAAGACCTAAGGGCTCTTGGAGCTCAGAAGTTTAAATAGCCAAGAGGTAGTAATCAGGAGAGGAAGAAGTCTGGCTTGATGGAGAAGGAAAGAGAGGAGCAGGCCTGAGGGACAGCCATCTCTAGTATCCAGTGCAATTTCTTTCTTGGCCAGGGCATGGGGGACCTGACAAGAGGCTCTCCCTACCACCCTAGTACTCTTGGTAGAGGATATTGGGGAACCTGGCCATTTGAGTGCCCATTGGGTGTCCTTAGAAGGCACCAACAAGAGGACTGATCCCTTCCCTATATCCCATAGCTATGGGAAAGGGGCTATTGGGGTGCCCCACACCCCACAAACTAGAAATAACCTATTGTGAACCACCCAAGATGATTGGGACTGGGGTGAACTCCTGGTGTCTACAGCAGATATCATTGGAGAGGACCCAGGCATGGAGAAATGTGAGAGAACTTTCTGAGAAGGTTTTGGTATTGCTTTGATAGTTTGTAAAAATTTGGGACTGTATTACCCAGGAAAAGGTGTGTGAGATTGGGGGCCTTAGCTTGCAGCAAGGGCCGCAGCTCAATCCATCTGGAGCTGCTGCACTTTGCTTGCTTTGCCTTGAGTTAGGACTCATGTTTGAGCATATTCACCCATAGACTGTGGGACATTCAATGTGCCGGTCCCTTTGGGCAATGTAGCTCTGTCCCAGCTTAATACCTGCAGGGCCTTGTATGGTATACCCTCCATGCAGCACCTCAGTTGCATTGTCTGCCACACCAGTGCAGCTCTCTGGACGTTTTGCTGTATTGATGCAACCCCACAAATCGTAAGCTTTTCTTTGTCATGTTTGGACCCTTTCCTTCCTCTGAGGAGCTCAAGGTGGCTACCTAGGGCTATCTCATTTTATTATTGTAACCAACGTGTGAGGTTGTGAGACAATGACTTGCCCCATGCAAGCCAGTGGTCTTCACAGATACGTGAGGATTTTCAGCTTGGTCTTTTTCTAACCCGTCAAGGCTGCATTCTAGCTACTGCTGCAAAACAAAGAAGCCTAAACCAGTCTGTTGAAACGCTGCCGTTAGGCACGTTGCTTGAAAGGGTGGTGACCAGAAATGACTTCTTAAAAAATCATTTATAAAGCAATCATAGCAGCATTACGGTGTAATAGCACTATACTTCTCTTTCATTTAAAAACAGTATAGCTGGGAAAGCATTTTTGCACTGATTAAAAGATTGATTAAAAAATAAACGGGGTCATAAAGTGGCCTAAACCACAAGGGCTATAGTGGATGCGTGCTGAACTTCAGTTGTGAACCGCCCTGTGGTCTTTTGATGAAGGGTGGTATACAAATTTAATAAAGAAGTAAAATGGTCTCACCCACCACTGCTATATTGTACCCACTGTGTTCCAAATAGCATGGCAACTGAAAACTCAGTTGCAGCTCTCATAGTAGCTTACAGCAAAGGAGAAGTTTAGGGTCAGTATGTAGGAGTCATAACACCCTTCAACTGCCAGAGAAGACCGTAATACACCAGTTTTTAAAATTTGTAATATCCTAATTCATTATTTTCGGCATTATAGCAATCAGATAGTGTGAATGCCTGACGGCTTAAAGAATGAAACAGACAAATTACCAGCGCCTAACTAGGAATTCCAAGCAGGATAAGAGTTTGCTCCGTTCAGGAATTCCCTCTGCAAAAGGCAGGGGCAAAGGACAGTTTGGGCTTTTGCTGGACAGACTTGAGGGGGGTCTTAAAAATGTTCAAGTTTCCCAAAATCACAAGGTTCTTCATCAGGCAGAAAAGTTTTCTGCGTGGGAAGCTGGAATTGTCAGTGTTCCGTCGCCTTTCCTCCTGTGCCTCATTCCCCGTTTTCCCTTGGGCTTGGCTCGTGACTTTTCCCAGCAATTCCCTACCTCCCTCCCCCCCCCCCCGCTCCTCTACTTTTCAAATAGTACCATTCCAGGAGTCATAAATCTGCCTATCTTTCAGGCCCAGTCCCAACGCTGTGTACGGTGGTGGCTATTTCCAGCGTGTCCCAAGAATGCCAAGCGGGGGATGCACGCTATGTGCTGCTTGGGTGAAAACCAATATCGGTTCCAATCTGCCCCCTCCTCACCCACATGCCTGCCTGCACGCTTTCCTTCTGCATGCAGGCACACCATGGCTGGGCCGGGCTCTGTTCAGAGAGGAACAAGAAGTTGAATTAACAGCAGAAGGCTTGGTCTAATTCTGATCTGAGGTGACATCCCAATATCTAGGAGGCACCACTTCAAACTGTCCTTGTGGGGGGGGGCAGCAGAGGATAACATAATTGTGAGTTGCTTCATACCAAAAAATCTTCCCATCTAGAAGATCGGCATGTCCAGGAGACCAAGCTAGAACCTTTCCCCCTGAGTTTACTGCATAAAGGGATTATTATTCTTTGCATGGTAGAGTGTACATGTCTTGGGAGCCCCCACCCTGAAATGGTACAGTCCTGACTTAGGATGACCAATGCAGTGAGAACAGGTCTGTCTGCAGCTAGGAAAGTGATGGGGAAATGCACTGGAAAGCATGGATTGAACAGATGGTTAATGGGAAGATGTGTATACTCCACAACAAGCAAATCAGGGTGAATGCTCATTGTCATATAAATGTCCCTCAAACAAATCAGAACAAGTGCAAGCAAATCAGAGTGAATGCCCAATAAACAGGTTGTCTAGAGGAGCCCATTACTATTCAGAGCCTATTACTGAATTACAGTATTTCCTAATCATAGCATCCCACTTTCCTTTTTTTGCTGCTTTGGGCAAGTGCCATATCAGACTATAGCACCAGAGGGCAGCCTTGACTTTCAGCATTTTTTTTCAGGCAAGTGCCACAAACTTAATATATTAGTCATGGTGTCGTTCTCCACTATGAACAAATTTCTGACAATAACAATAACTTAGTGTAACTTAAAGCAAAGTACATATGCTTTGAAATAGTCACATACTCTTCTCCTGCATAGGCCTGCCTCTATTTCACCTCCTTTCTCTGTTGTTTCCCTGTGCTTATTATGGATTGTAGCTTCCATGATGCAGGGACCTGTTGTGTCTGTTTTCTTAAAGTGTCAAGGACATAGATGGTGATAGACATATTTAACAATAATGCGGAGGAGGTGGAAGAGGCTTATGGGGTGTGTAGTTTTGCTGCTCTTAGCCACTCTCAAAAGTTGATTATAGTTCCTTATTTTAACAATTCCCCCCTAACTTTACTGCACCTTAGTAGCTCATAATCCAATTATAGGCTGTCTGCTCACACTGTGAACTATCAGTCCTCATGCAGCACATCAACCACGAATTATAGTCCAATCAGGATTATGAAAGTGTCTGCTTTTGCAGCATGCCTGAGAAAACAACAACATAAACTGGTGAGGGTTTATGTCCAACAGGGCACACAACGCAATATAAATTGGCTTGGTAGAGCTTGTGCCCCCCAAAATTGTACGTTGGAAATAAAGGAAGCTCTAAAAAATGTTCACAAAATGTCACATGATGAGATGGATGTTTTCCCAAATGCTGCCACAAACAATAAGCAGTAAGTACCCACAAAACTTGTGCAATCACATTCTTCACAGCTCTGAACAGTAACAATATATGTGGGAGAGATAATTATAGTTTTGCCATGGTCAAAATACTGCATTGGACTGCTCTGAAAATGTGGTGCCTTAAAGGGAGAAAGTCCTTTAGTGGTGGGGCCAGTGCTAGGTTGGAGAAGGTTTCTGCAAGGTGGGCTTCTTCCACATAGACAGACCCTACAGTTAGGCAGCGAGAAACAGCCTCAGGCAGCAGCAGTCCCTCCACTATTCTCAGTGAATCTCCTAAACCAGGTTTAGGGGACTCTTGGCCTTCCAGATGTTGCTGAACTAAAAGTCCCATCAGCCTCAACAAGCATGGCCAACAGCCAAGAATTATGGGAGTTGTAAGTTCAACAACATCTGGAGGGCCAAAGGTTCCCCACATCTGCCCTAAACTAGCCTGCCACCATTAGGTTCAGTGGAGGCTGTTGTCCCATCACCAGTGTGGAAATGATTCAATTGCCAGTGCAGGACATGGAATGAGGGGCATCACTGTCTCCTTTGCCCCATTCAAGGTATGGGCCCTGCAGCCCAAGAATGCAGCAGTTGCCCCGGCCACCTGCCAGAATTGGCCCAGATAAACTTCTGGTCACAGGAGCTAAAAGGTTTCTGTACCCCTGGTCTACACTGATCGGCAATAGCTCTACAGAGTTTCAGGTAGGAGATGTTCCCAGCTTTAGCTGGAGATGCTGGGAATTGAACCTGGGACCTTCTGAGCTTCAGCCCTTCCTCAAGAGAGAAGAGACACTTATTAGTTGATGTAGGGAAGAATTAAAGACGCCTTCAGTGGGGATTGCTTTCTCCCCACAGCACAGGGAATGGGGCAGCCAGCAATAAGAATCTCATGATTTCATTCTTGTGTCTTGCAGGATGAGGTGAAGCTGCCAACCAAGCTGAGCATTAGTAAGTCTTTGAAAGAGACAGAAAAAGAAGGGGAAGAGGTCGTGGTGGATGAGGAGCATCCTGAAGAAGAACATATTGAGCTCTCCTCAGACGAAGAGGTGGAGGTGGAAGAGATTATTGAGGAGTCACGGGCAGAACGCATTAAGAGGAGCGGTATGAGGAAAGTGGATGACTTCAAGAAGGCCTTCTCCAAAGAGAAGATGGAGAAGACCAAGCTGAAGACCAGAGAGAACCTGGAAAAGACCAAGGTGAGGACCAGGGAGAACCTGGAGAAGACCAAGCAGAACCTGGAGAAGACCCGACACAACCTGGAGAAGAGGATGAACAAGTTGGGCACCAAGATTGTCACCAATGAGCGCAGGGAGAAGATGAAGACCTCCCGGGAGAAGCTGAAGAAGTCCTTCACCCCCGACCACGTGGTCTATGCACGCTCCAAGACAGCTGTCTACAAAGTACCACCTTTCACGTTCCATGTCAAGAAGATCCGAGAGGGGGAGGTGGAAGTGAAGGCCACTGAGATGGTGGAGGTTGGTGGCGATGAGGCAGAGAACACAGATCTTATGAGGGGTGAGAGCCCTGAGATGAGCACCCTTTTGCATATTAATGAAGAGGCGGACACGATGCTGGCAGACAAGAGTGACAGCGAGTGAGGCTAGAGTGGCATTGGAAGACCATCAAGAGCTGACCATGTAATCTTTCACGTTTCCCCTTTTTGGCCTCACATGGGTGTGCACTCACACACACAATATATATATATAGATCTTGCAGCCCCACCCCCCAAATGCGGCACGAAGGTGCATTTTTGTATATTTCTGTTTCAGCATATAGAGCACAGGACTTCATAGCAATCCATCAAACACCATTCCTATGACCGAGAGCTTGCTTTGCCTGCCAGCCTGCTGTGGCAACACCCCTCGCCCACCCACCCCAAGGTGCTATCAGCAAAGCAATCCATTTGCATGCCCAAGAAGCATGCTGCCTCTTACCTATTCTCCTTGGGGCTCAAGAATGCTTCCAGGGACCAGAAGACAAGATTAGATGGACAGAAGGAAAAGCAGCATGGTGCAGAACCGAAAGAAGAAAGGGTTTGGCACAGTACTTTACTGAACTGGGGGAGGAAAAGTGACTGAGGAGGGATGCAAATGTAATGCCATGCGATGGTGCAAGAGGGAGGTCTGTGCACCCCGCAAACCATTTTTCAAGAGATTATTTTTTATGCAGTCACACTCTTAAGGGCCTTATATTTGCACACATGAAAGAACAGCAGCTGCTGCTGTGCACGCTGGAAGGAGGAGAGGAGAGGAAAAGTGTCGAGGCAGGGTCCCCTCCAAGCTATTTGGGCTGTTCGCTGAGTCTGGCCAGGAGCCACGCTTGCAACATGGCTCCAGTGGTCAGTGCTCATTTTCTGGGTTAGGGCATGGTGGGGAGTGGCAGACCAGTAGGTGTGGCTGTGAAAGAGGACAGAGAGCACAGAGAAAAGATGGATTGTGAGTCTTTGGCTGCAAGTAAAGTGTTAATAGCAAGAGCCAAGAGGAAACTCTTGTCCAGTCAGCCAGCCACCTTAACCCCTGTCCCTGAGCTGGATCCTGTGCACTGAAGATGGCTTTCTGCAGTGCCTGGGTTTCAGGTCAACATCTGTACCTTCCTGCTAGGCTGACTTGCAGCAGCCCATTTTTAACTTGGGCACTGCTTTTTGGGTGCTCTCCAGTGGGGTACCCATATGGGTTTGCTGTCGCTATATTGACTGAACTTGCTGCTTGGGGAGGGCTGTGGGGAGGGGGCGTTCAGTGACCCAAGACGTCTTCGTTGTGTGGGTAAGGTGCTTCTCAGCAAACTCCCCACACTTCCTTATAGCTACCTCTTTGGGCTTTTCTTTTAAAGTTTGTGGGTGAGCCTGAAGCCTCACTTTTTTCCCAAGCACCACCAAAAAGAGGCTTCTTTCCAGGGTGTTCAACACATGCAGCTGCCTACACACACACATCTCTGGTCCACCAATTCATGAAGTGGTTGAGCAGCCCCCTCTTCCCCACCTCCTGCTATGATTCTCCCCTGTGGGATCAAGGAGGGAAAGTCGGCAGCATGCTCAGTCCCAGCAGCAAACTCTGCCAGGGTTCCCTTGGCAGTGGTGCCAACAGAGCAAGATTTTGGGGCAGACATCTTAGCAGATTGAGGAGGTGGCCCCCCAAACCTAGCAAAGGCACCTTCATCGTATTTTGAAACAAGTAATGCACATTGCCACCTGCAGCAATGAAGTAGTAATGCATTGCCATATAAGCTAAAAGGCCGATAAGGCCATTAAGTCCAGAGCCTAAAACAACCCACCAGTGACACTGTACCTCCACCATTCCATGCCCAGCATTTCCACCACAACCTATACCAATGCTGCCTGCTCTAGCAACTCAGCCAGTAGCTTGGCTGAGCCACCCATAGCCCAGTAAGGAGGTAGAGGGGTGTGTGTGTGTGTGTATAGGGATGTTCTTACTCAACCATGGAGTGTGCAAGCTCCCACCACACTAGAGTTTCCAGTGAGCCTTTCTGTTCTTGTTACGTTGCTGTGGATCTTGCGTCCGGGAGAAGACAGGAGTGCCCAGAGTACCAGATATGCTTGGACTTTTCTTAAGGCCATCACACATAGGGCAGAGACCACACACCACTCTGGGGAGAGAGCAAGGGGCAGGGGGAGGGTTGTGCCAAGCTGCTGCATTGTTCCTTTTCTAAGACTGCATCCTGGTGAGCAGCATGACTAATAAACTTCCTTTTCTAAAAGAACAGGTGTGAGGTGTTTGCAAGGGGCAGGGGGGAGAGCGGCATCAGGCAGGTCACTCAGGCAGGTGCAGCGCAGCACCAAGCCACACACATTAAGGGGACTTCCAGGCTCGCTTTGTTTCAGGTGGGATTCAGTCTCTGCCAAATTCAGGTTGTGCAGCGAAAGCCGACCTGCTGCTCTTGCTAATCATACTTTGTGCGCCGTAAGGAAAGCGACGGGAAAACACACTGGAAAGTGGGATAGTGGTTTCTTGACACAATATTGTATAACGTCACTGCAAACAAATTAGAATGAATGCTCAATAAATAGCCAACATCGTCTCACCTCCCTGCAGACTTTGTGCACACAAATCAGAACGAATGCTCAATAATTGGGGTGTCTGAAAGAAAGCATGATTATTATTTTTTATTCTTTACCGAAAGGACACATTAAGGCAGTACCTTTAACAGGCCAAACTTGCAGAGTAGGTGTGCAAGGTTTAAAGTTCTCCAGAACTCTTCATAGCAAGCAAAACTGGGGGATGGGCACTATTGCTGAAACCATGGAACCTGTATTTAGTATGTGAATTGGGGGGGGGGGTCAAGTGTCCTTAACAGTGCCATTTTTTAATTTTGAAGGGAAAGCAGCCAGTTGGAAGCTGTTGCTAGGGCGGACAGGCAGACTAAATCGCAACCTCACCTCCCTTTCTGTGTCCTGAGGAGAGGCTGGATAGGTAGAAGAGGGCTTCTAGGTAAGAAGACACAGAGGGTGGCACTGCTTTCCAGCTTGCTCCTCGTTCCTCTTAGCATCACCCTTTAGGAACTTGGTTGGGAGGCGAATGGAGGCAAAACTAGAATTAGCTGGCTCTGACTCTACTTCCTTTTGTCTCTGCCTTCTGCCCTACTGGTCCCAATGGACACTTATCAGCGCTGGATGAGAGCTGTAGTCCAGCAACTCCTGGAGGGCACCATGTTGGCTAACCTTGCCCTGGGCAGTGCAGCATAGATAGCTGGTTGCAGATGAAGCAGCCACGTTGTTCTCTCACATGCTCACCTGCATTCTCCTGGGTGAAGCAATGATGGAAATTCACTGCTGCAAGCCTAATACCTCCTGTTATGCCACTCAAAGGATGATAGGTAACAGAAGAAAGATGTTGTTCCTGCCTCAGCATGATGGCACCAAGATTGGTTGCTATCACCCCACTGCCTGTGATTGCAACGCTTTACCTGTTTGTGCACATTCTCTTTGGGTGGCACAGCAGGGTCATGAAGAGGGAGCAGGCAAAAGGAGCAGCCTCTGCATGCTCACTTACCCTCTCTCACTCCGTGGCATGATGGAGACAGTTGAATTCACTGGGCCCAGTCCCCGTGCCGCCTAGTAAGGTAAAGGATCCCTGGATGGTTAAGTCCAGTCAAAGGCAACCATGGCGTGTTGCGCTCATCTCGCTTCAGGCCAAGGGAGCTGGCGTTTGTCCACAGACAGCTTTCTGGGTCGTGACCAGCAGGACTAAACCGCTTCTGGCACAATGGGATGTCGTAATGAGTGCCAGTACACGGAAACACCATTTACCTTCCCAGCACAGCGGTGCCTATTTGTCTACTTGCACTGGTGTGCTTTCGAACGGCTAGTAGGGGAGTGGCAACCTCTTTTCTAGGCTCTGTTGCAGGGCATAGGATGGCCAAGGATTATCTGAGCACCTCTTTTTACACCACCACCAACTGCAGATTGGCTGCTTTTCTTTCAAACAAAAAGCATCACTTTTCAGTATGCCCCTTTTAAAATAGTGTTGTTTGTCCCTACACAAGACAAGCCAGGAGACACCACTCAGAACTATTTCCACCCAAGTAGTTCCTTAGGATCTGAAAGTGTGAATTCCATTTTCCCCTCCAGGTGGCAGCAGCTCCCCTTCAGGTAGGAGCATTAAAAAAACAAACAAAAAACAAACAAACAGAAGGGCACTGCCATTGCTGGAACACTGATACAGTCCATGTTTGTCAGCCATCTAGTTTCTTAGAGCCCCCAGACATCAGCGGAAGATTAAGGCCTCTGCTCACAAACTCGATAGGAAAGAAGCCTAGCTGGATGTCATCAGCACCATTCTTCCCCTCCTGGGGAATCTTCGCCTACCCATTTGATCCCATTGGGGAGCATCCAGTGCTAATCCTACTCAAAGTAGACCCGCTGAAATGAATGAGCACGACCAACTTAGGGCCATTCATTCCAATGGGTCTACTTTGAGTAAGACTGGCACTGGATACGCTTTGCGCAGAAGAGGTCGGGTTTAAAACCAGGTAAGTTTGAAACATCCCACTGGTTTGTTCAGTAAGAGTTGCACAGCTGCCTCCTTCAACAACCAGGGGGGTTATGTGCACCCTTTCGAGGTGATAAGGTACGGGACCAGTGCTTTGACCTATAAAGCAAATAGTACCTTGGGGTGGGGCAATTCCAATCAGGAGAATGGCAGAGGGGAAAAGGTTAAACTACTCATCCATTAGCACCACGACACCAGTTCAAATTTGAGGGGTGGGGAACCAGCATTTAAAAATTGCATATCAGATTATGGATCTCCTACTGTTCTGCCTAGTTGTGCCTTTATTTGTGCCAATGGTGCAGGCTTAAACGCGCCCTTCCCATCACCCCCAAACAGCTGGCTTTGGCTTAGACCTAGCTGAATCTCTGGAAGTAGCAGGGCCGGCCCAGGATGTTTTGTCACTTGAGGCAAAACAGAAAAAGCCCTCCTCTGCCCACCGCCCCACAGTTGCTGAATGGAGGCAGCTTACAGAAGCCCTGGCAGGCTGAAGGTGGCAGGTAGAGGAAGAGGTGGGAACCAAGCACAGAAGGAGGTGGGTGGCATGCTCCCCAGGGCCTGGATCTGCTGCCCCTCCCAGCTGTCCCCAGCCTGCCACCCAAGATGATTGCCTCATCAAACCTCCTGGGTAGGCCAGTCCTGGGAAGTAGCCAGCGACTAATTCCCTGCTGGATGCAACATTCAACAGGAGGTTCTTGGCAAAGCCATCACTGATCCCACAGCACATCATCATCTGTTGGGACTTGCCGGGAAGAGGTGAAGGGGCTTTTCCAGAGTTGGCCCCTCCTCGCTCTGTAAGTGGCCCCAGTGACATGGAACACAGATGGTGACAGAATGAGTGGGTGGGTGATTGATACATTACTTTGGAACTCCAGAATGGAGTCCTCCGTTGAGCAATGAATAAGGACAAAATGATAATGCCAAAATTCCACAGCTGCTCGCTTCTATCTGTAAATATGGATTTCCCATTCTTCTGACTTTGTGCTTTTCACTTCAAGAAAGGAAGGAAGGAAGGAAGGAAGGAAGGAAGGAAGGAAGGAAGGAAGGAAGGGGTGTCCTTATCCTTGAGTTTCCTTTGATGTTACTGAGCATGATGTGAAATGGTAAGGGACTGGGCTGATTTACCCACCCATGTCAAGGCTGAGTCAGAAGTACCACAAGAGACTCCACAGATCTTTGGCAGCTGGAAAGGACAGATAACTACAAGCAAGTCTTCACTGGAACAGAGGGAAAGGAAAGAAATCTTCTGGGTGGTATACAACCAGCTTTTCTCAGAGTAGACTCAATGAAACATGTCCACGACTAACTTAAGTCCATTAATTTAAGTGGGTCTGCTTTCAGTGAAAATTAGATGAATACAGCCGTCTGCACAGATAAGCATTTGCGTGGGATTCGCAGGGGAGAAGACAAAAGGGCAAGGCAGACCACAGCAGAAGACCTTTTATAAGATCAAAGCACAATAACCACAAGTTTCAACTGTCACTGCGGCATTTATTGACTTGAAAGCAAAGGTCATCATCGCCCAGTGACATCACAGCATATGTGGGTAACTCCGAAAAGATTTCAGATTACCACAAAAGGCCTGTTAAGAAATAAAGAAAGACATTTCACAAAATGGTTTGCTCAAAATAGGTGGGTACCACAACAAGGTGTTGCAACAGACCGTACACACTTGCTTTCCCCCCACAATCCCCAGCCACAACACCTAACAATGCTGTCATATCGTTTACATATCTAAGCCAACCCCAGGAGCACCAGATCTTACCCAAGTCTGTAAAGCCTCTGAAACCACTAACAAGATCTGACCGGAATCCTTCTTGGGGTGGCTCATTAAGTGCAACTGGGGGAAAATGTTGCAGGGCAGAGTGAGCCTGATCCAAATTTCTGCCAGCCAGTCAGCTAGTCATGCTCTTTCCCAGGAAACTACATTCCATCCCCCTCCCCCGCCCCCAAAAAGCAAGGTGCTATTCCCTGGCTATAGAGCATGCTCAGTCTTCATTGGTCTGTTTTGGGTCCCCCTCCTTTTTAGGGGTTTTGTCCCCAGTTGTTTTGTTTGTTTGTTGGGGGGATAGTTTTGAAATCTTGGCTTTTCTGTGAACCTGCTGATACCTCCCCTTGTGTGCAGATGGAGCCATTTTGACCACACAAGGATCCATAAATGATAATAAAACATATTGGCTGCCCACAACTGCGAGTCTCCCAGAATTCTATTCTACCTGGCATTCAGATATGCCATAGGCATGAACTTAAAGCATAGCTGCATAAAAGCACTCCACAATGAGTGGCTTGCTAAGGTTTTCGAAAAGATCATTGCTGGCCGTGGGTTCATACGATTACCGCTGCAAGCTCCCCAAAAATGATACAGCAGCCATGTCCAACTGAGAATCCTTGCCACAGGTGGTCTCTATCAAAACATTTCACAGTCTGGCTGGTCCACATTCAGCTGTTAATCCACTTTCCCCACATTCAGATTTAGACTGGAATAGTCCATGCCTGCAGCTATTTGATTTGGCATATGTGAAGCAGCTTCAGTACCCATCCCCTTTTGTTTGTGTCCCTGCCTTCTAATTTATTAACTCTGTTATGCCAGTTAAGTACTGTACCCAAGGCCGGATTTAGGTTTGATGAGGCCCAAAGCTACTGAAGGAAATGGAGCCCTTTATATGTCCAGCTGTCCTTTGTCAACAACAAATTGTCGCTGTTTTTTGTGTTGAATATATGTTATATGGTAATTTATGGACCTAATAGGTATCTAAAGCCATTTGCACATGTTGCCATGCAACCAGTCCATGCAGGCACCCTATATATAGAAATGAGCAAATCAGTGATATTTTAGGGAGCAGGCTAGCACCGGAGCCCATTACTGTACTTACATCATAGGAGCCTACACAGCACAAGCACTGTTGCGGTATATATAGGATTTATTTTGTTTTTTATCTAATATTTTGGAAATGTACATCCAGGTTTTTTTTCCTTTAAATTTTTTGGGGGGCCCCAAGAGAGTGGGGCCCTAAGCTATGGCTTGTTTAGCTTATA